CTCGTGCACACACCACACCAGACAGACTGCAACATTCACTCTACAGGACAGCGTCACACGACACTGCTGCCTTCATCATGCTAACACTCTCTTCTCTTTTCCCCTGTTCTCAGAACCCACGTCGACACCTGACACCGGAGCACCATCCAGCACCACATCACCAGACGACGAGCTCTACATCGACTACGTGGACAAGACGGGCAAGAGAAGAAGACGACGTCGACTTCCCTCCGAAATATCACCCAGACGAAACGGAACTGCGTCAGTCACCGATTCAGGCAAACGTAAGTTGTACACGATTCACGCCTATGTATATATCCACACACTCACTCAATCAATTCGGCACCAACACTCAATCTCGTCTCAGTACTGACCAGTATCAATCACTGTGCTCCGCTCATCGTCGATACAGTTCCACTTGGCAGTGTCCGATTGCTCGCACCAACACTGTCCGTTATCGCTCACTGCATTCGTCCACTCCAGTGGCTCACTCGAACTGGCTCACAACGTCAAACAGACACTCATCCAATCAACCCACCACTCACACCATCACACACTCACTCAGTCAATCATCATCCCAACTCACATCACAACAAAAACAACCATGCGAATAAGCACACTCAAATACAATCACTCACCGAGTTGTCACACACTCAATCTACCAAGCCATCACTCGTCACACTGCTAGCACACAAACACACTGACTCACTACACACTTCCCATGTCATGCCACATTCACATGCACATCTGCAACATCACTCACGCAATCACACATGCACACGTGTCTCCTGTAGACACAGGTCGGACTGGACGATCCGCACACACAAGAACGATGCCCACCACACACCTGTTAGTGTCAGCCACACCGAGCTCATCTCTCACTCACACTCACATTCTCTCTGTCTCTCTCGCTCGTGCACACACCACACCAGACAGACTGCAACATTCACTCTACAGGACAGCGTCACACGACACTGCTGCCTTCATCATGCTAACACTCTCTTCTCTTTTCCCCTGTTCTCAGAACCCACGTCGACACCTGACACCGGAGCACCATCCAGCACCACATCACCAGACGACGAGCTCTACATCGACTACGTGGACAAGACGGGCAAGAGAAGAAGACGACGTCGACTTCCCTCCGAAATATCACCCAGACGAAACGGAACTGCGTCAGTCACCGATTCAGGCAAACGTAAGTTGTACACGATTCACGCCTATGTATATATCCACACACTCACTCAATCAATTCGGCACCAACACTCAATCTCGTCTCAGTACTGACCAGTATCAATCACTGTGCTCCGCTCATCGTCGATACAGTTCCACTTGGCAGTGTCCGATTGCTCGCACCAACACTGTCCGTTATCGCTCACTGCATTCGTCCACTCCAGTGGCTCACTCGAACTGGCTCACAACGTCAAACAGACACTCATCCAATCAACCCACCACTCACACCATCACACACTCACTCAGTCAATCATCATCCCAACTCACATCACAACAAAAACAACCATGCGAATAAGCACACTCAAATACAATCACTCACCGAGTTGTCACACACTCAATCTACCAAGCCATCACTCGTCACACTGCTAGCACACAAACACACTGACTCACTACACACTTCCCATGTCATGCCACATTCACATGCACATCTGCAACATCACTCACGCAATCACACATGCACACGTGTCTCCTGTAGACACAGGTCGGACTGGACGATCCGCACACACAAGAACGATGCCCACCACACACCTGTTAGTGTCAGCCACACCGAGCTCATCTCTCACTCACACTCACATTCTCTCTGTCTCTCTCGCTCGTGCACACACCACACCAGACAGACTGCAACATTCACTCTACAGGACAGCGTCACACGACACTGCTGCCTTCATCATGCTAACACTCTCTTCTCTTTTCCCCTGTTCTCAGAACCCACGTCGACACCTGACACCGGAGCACCATCCAGCACCACATCACCAGACGACGAGCTCTACATCGACTACGTGGACAAGACGGGCAAGAGAAGAAGACGACGTCGACTTCCCTCCGAAATATCACCCAGACGAAACGGAACTGCGTCAGTCACCGATTCAGGCAAACGTAAGTTGTACACGATTCACGCCTATGTATATATCCACACACTCACTCAATCAATTCGGCACCAACACTCAATCTCGTCTCAGTACTGACCAGTATCAATCACTGTGCTCCGCTCATCGTCGATACAGTTCCACTTGGCAGTGTCCGATTGCTCGCACCAACACTGTCCGTTATCGCTCACTGCATTCGTCCACTCCAGTGGCTCACTCGAACTGGCTCACAACGTCAAACAGACACTCATCCAATCAACCCACCACTCACACCATCACACACTCACTCAGTCAATCATCATCCCAACTCACATCACAACAAAAACAACCATGCGAATAAGCACACTCAAATACAATCACTCACCGAGTTGTCACACACTCAATCTACCAAGCCATCACTCGTCACACTGCTAGCACACAAACACACTGACTCACTACACACTTCCCATGTCATGCCACATTCACATGCACATCTGCAACATCACTCACGCAATCACACATGCACACGTGTCTCCTGTAGACACAGGTCGGACTGGACGATCCGCACACACAAGAACGATGCCCACCACACACCTGTTAGTGTCAGCCACACCGAGCTCATCTCTCACTCACACTCACATTCTCTCTGTCTCTCTCGCTCGTGCACACACCACACCAGACAGACTGCAACATTCACTCTACAGGACAGCGTCACACGACACTGCTGCCTTCATCATGCTAACACTCTCTTCTCTTTTCCCCTGTTCTCAGAACCCACGTCGACACCTGACACCGGAGCACCATCCAGCACCACATCACCAGACGACGAGCTCTACATCGACTACGTGGACAAGACGGGCAAGAGAAGAAGACGACGTCGACTTCCCTCCGAAATATCACCCAGACGAAACGGAACTGCGTCAGTCACCGATTCAGGCAAACGTAAGTTGTACACGATTCACGCCTATGTATATATCCACACACTCACTCAATCAATTCGGCACCAACACTCAATCTCGTCTCAGTACTGACCAGTATCAATCACTGTGCTCCGCTCATCGTCGATACAGTTCCACTTGGCAGTGTCCGATTGCTCGCACCAACACTGTCCGTTATCGCTCACTGCATTCGTCCACTCCAGTGGCTCACTCGAACTGGCTCACAACGTCAAACAGACACTCATCCAATCAACCCACCACTCACACCATCACACACTCACTCAGTCAATCATCATCCCAACTCACATCACAACAAAAACAACCATGCGAATAAGCACACTCAAATACAATCACTCACCGAGTTGTCACACACTCAATCTACCAAGCCATCACTCGTCACACTGCTAGCACACAAACACACTGACTCACTACACACTTCCCATGTCATGCCACATTCACATGCACATCTGCAACATCACTCACGCAATCACACATGCACACGTGTCTCCTGTAGACACAGGTCGGACTGGACGATCCGCACACACAAGAACGATGCCCACCACACACCTGTTAGTGTCAGCCACACCGAGCTCATCTCTCACTCACACTCACATTCTCTCTGTCTCTCTCGCTCGTGCACACACCACACCAGACAGACTGCAACATTCACTCTACAGGACAGCGTCACACGACACTGCTGCCTTCATCATGCTAACACTCTCTTCTCTTTTCCCCTGTTCTCAGAACCCACGTCGACACCTGACACCGGAGCACCATCCAGCACCACATCACCAGACGACGAGCTCTACATCGACTACGTGGACAAGACGGGCAAGAGAAGAAGACGACGTCGACTTCCCTCCGAAATATCACCCAGACGAAACGGAACTGCGTCAGTCACCGATTCAGGCAAACGTAAGTTGTACACGATTCACGCCTATGTATATATCCACACACTCACTCAATCAATTCGGCACCAACACTCAATCTCGTCTCAGTACTGACCAGTATCAATCACTGTGCTCCGCTCATCGTCGATACAGTTCCACTTGGCAGTGTCCGATTGCTCGCACCAACACTGTCCGTTATCGCTCACTGCATTCGTCCACTCCAGTGGCTCACTCGAACTGGCTCACAACGTCAAACAGACACTCATCCAATCAACCCACCACTCACACCATCACACACTCACTCAGTCAATCATCATCCCAACTCACATCACAACAAAAACAACCATGCGAATAAGCACACTCAAATACAATCACTCACCGAGTTGTCACACACTCAATCTACCAAGCCATCACTCGTCACACTGCTAGCACACAAACACACTGACTCACTACACACTTCCCATGTCATGCCACATTCACATGCACATCTGCAACATCACTCACGCAATCACACATGCACACGTGTCTCCTGTAGACACAGGTCGGACTGGACGATCCGCACACACAAGAACGATGCCCACCACACACCTGTTAGTGTCAGCCACACCGAGCTCATCTCTCACTCACACTCACATTCTCTCTGTCTCTCTCGCTCGTGCACACACCACACCAGACAGACTGCAACATTCACTCTACAGGACAACGTCATACGTTATTGCTGCCTTCCGCGTGCGAATCGTCTATGGTCTTATCCTGTTGTTCCTTATTTTTTTTCCCTTAATATTATAATTGTCATTAGTTGTTTTATCTTCGCTATATATATCCGGTTTCGTTTTTCGTGTTTTTCGACGCTGTTCTTTGCTTTTATTTCATTTCTGTGCTCTTACTTCTTTATGTGTAATTTTTTGTCTTTCTGTTTATTTCTTTACTTTTTTATTTCTAATGTCTTCTTTTTGCTTTTACTTTTTATGTTGCCTGGTTTTTGTTTTATTCTTCTACAAAATTTTTCTATTTCATGTCCATTGAATTATTTTTTCTTCTAGTCATCTTTCATTTTCACATTGTATATTTTGTTTGGCATTGTTACTAATTTTCAGTCAGTTCTGTCGGAGTTAATGATTATGAAGAAGACACCAACGATGCACATGCTTTGACTACTCCATCTATGAAATCATCTCGTCAGGCGCCAACACGACCGCCTAAGAGAATATCAGCTGGTACAAAACCAATTAGTAAGAAGACTGTTTCGCCTAAACCAACTTTATCATCCAGTGGTTCAGATAATGCATGTAAGTTTAATTGACAATTTTCATTGAAGCTTTACTGATTTCAAATTTCCTTATATATATATATATATATATATATATTGTTGTTGCTTTAACCAATCAATTATTTTGCCTAATCTTACCAATCAAATTGATGTGTTGTTTTAAATAACTTGATAAGTCTGATCTATTCCTTGTATACATTTCAGCCAAACCTGTTGAAGGTGAATATTATGAAGATAACCTAGAACAATCTAAAATCGTTTCTACTACTACTACTACTCGAAAA